TAGCAGCCTCAGGCCTGGTATGTTAACTCTTTTTCTGCACAGGTACCATGTTTTTCCAACCCCAGATTACATAAACACTCATGTATAATTGGTTTTCCCATTTAACAAGCTTTTATTTTCCTATTTAAAGATTTACACTATCTGAGGTTTATTTTTTCTATTTAAATATTAAGTAGTTGCTTCTTGGATAAGAGATTAATATTTTTTTCTTGCTTTCTATTTTTCGAAACATTTCAGGTTTTCTACAAAAAGTACGTATTGTTTTTATAATTGGAAAAATACAAAGATAAAAATTCTAGTGACATTAAAATTTTATTTACTCATTTTAAAACAAAAATTTGTGTCTGGAACACAATATTCATATCCTCTTACATTTTTCTTCATATCAAAGTATTTTGTTAGCAATTTATCATTTTCAATGAAAACTTTTATAAGTGTGAGTTAATGCATTAACACTTGTGTTATACCTGGGTGAAGAATATTAGTCTATAAGAAATAAATATGTTGGGGCCGGCCCGGTGGCGCAAGCGGTTAAGTGTGTGCGCTCCACTGCGGCGGCCCGGGGTTTGCCGGTTCGGATCCCGGGCACACACCAATGCACCGCTTGTCAGGCCATGCTGTGGCGGCGTCCCATATAAAGTGGAGGAAGATGGGGAAAAAAAGGAGGAGGATTGGCAATAGATATTAGCTCAGAGCCGGTCTTCCTCAGCAAAAAAAAAAAAAAAAAAAAAAAGAGGAGGATTGACAGATGTTAGCACAGGGCTGATCTCACAAAAAAAAAAAAAGAAAGAAAGAAATATGTATAAAATGTTTCACCTGTGCTTCACTATCATGGACAATGGATACAAGCTCAGAATTGAAAAGATCATTAACAGTAACGTTTGGCTCTCAAGAGACTCTCAAAAACAAGTTACTTCTAATTCTTGCTTTATCAATGAGTACTTAAGTGATAGTTAAGTGGTCTACTGTATTCAGTGCAGGACTAACCCTATCAATGAGTGAGCTAACCACATCCGAGAGATGCATTTACTTTTCTACTATTGGCAGTCTTTGACATGAAAAGCTAATAATAGGACCTCTATAAGGAAAACTGAGATAATCTGAAAAGTTTCAGGAAATATTAGGGTAAAGCTTATGCTCTAAGTATACATATAAATATTTCTATACGTAGAAATTATTAAATACATTCTCCTCAGAAGTGTTTTACATCAAAAATATATGTTTTTAATATCTGTATTTATTCATTTTTATTTTTATTTTATTTTTGTGTGTGTGTGTGTGTGAGGAAGATCAGCCCTGAGCTAACATCCATGCTAATCTTCCTCTTTTTGCTGAGGAAGACTGGCTCTGAGCTAATATCTATTGCCAATCCTCCTCTTTTTTTTTCCCCAAAGCCCCAGCAGATAGTTGTACGTCACAGTTGCACATCCTTCTAGTTGCTGCATGTGGGACGAGGCCTCAGCACGGCCGGAGAAGCAGTGCGTCGGTGCGCACCCGGGATCTGAACCCGGGCCGCCAGTAGCGGAGCGCGCGCACTTAACTGCTAAGCCATGGGGCCCACCCTGTATTTATTCATTTTTAGCCTGAGAGTAAACATGAGGTTTCTGGAGCAGAGGGCAGAGTTATTATTACTTACATCAAGAAATGCACCATTTTTCCCACACCTAATATGCCACAGGTGTTGTAATGACAGTCAGTTGGTTAGGCCTGCACATACAGGGGTTAAACCACAGGAAATGTCCCCAAAATTATGAATCTGGAAATTTATATAGTATAAATTTCTGCCTAGCTGCCACCTTCCCCTGAAAAAGGCAGAAACCTTCCCCTGAAAAAGGCAGAAAAAACTAATCTCCCTAATGTAAGCAAATTCTCCTTGGGAAGAAAAGGGGACGCTCCCTGATTTCTCACCCTTTGGAATGTATATAAATATCTCCAGCGGGGGAAGATAAACTTCACTGGGTTTACAATCTCAATCTCAGGAATGTCTCCAAGGCTCTGAGTTTTATACCCCTTGGAAATAGAAACATAAACTTCCTGGGAGTTCTCTAACAATCTATTTAGTCATCTTTTAACTTCCAAGGCCTGACCTTTGACCAAGGTTTTAGTTTTCTTGGCTTTGAAAGCCCTGACCATTCAGAAACATGAAAATATTCACTTCTTAATAATTTACAGTAAAACTAACCAAAGTATTTATATTTGCAGCACACGTTAATACCTGACAGCTCCTAAAATATTGACTTTCAAACGCTTTCTGAAGTGCCCTGGGAATTCCTCACAGGTGCCCCAGAAGCCTCTTTTTTAGGGGGACAGTTAAAGTAGGGGTACAGAGTGAGCAGGGCTCTGGGACCCCAATTCCTGCTTCAAACACAGCCCATCTGCTCTCATATTTTGGACTTCCAAGTATGGTTGTTGGAAGATAAGCCTCTATTAAAAAAAAATTTGAAATCCACTGAAAAAAGAAACACCAAAAAATCTTAAGTAACCTAAATAAAGATCCTCAGTCTTATGGAAACAGATAACGTCTCATTTACATTTACACTTAAACTTCCTTGGCTTGGTACTTCTACCTGCACTAATGTAAAACTTGTAAAACACACACCAACACAAAGTTAACCAATTATTTCCAGGGCCCCCCACATAGCTCATGGGTACTCAGAAAGTTCTTTGATGTTCTGTCTGTTGATGTCAGTATACAATGCCACTTGAGGACAGCACCTAGCCACTAATAGTGTCTTCCATGAAAGAACTGCCCTATCCAGGATCCTGTTTTCTAATGGTGGTCCTCCCTAAACAGAACTGCAATTTTGTTTTTGCGGGAACCATACCTCTGTTGCTCACAAAAATAAGAAGTGTCCTTTTCTCTCCAGAGGACTCAGACTTAGCTCCTGGGGCAGCCACCATACTCTCATATTCATCATCCCAGTTCACTTTACTACCTCCAGGTAACCCAACATGGAACTTTCTCCCCTTCCCCTCATCTTTCTTCCTCTGAACTCACCACCGCACAAATATATTCAATACAAATAGATGCCTGGAGATCTCAGACCCAACAGTTCAGGCAGCCAAACTGCAATTCCCAGGCTAACACCTGGGAAGATTCTAGCTACATTTATAAAAATTCTATATTAAGGTTATAACTACTAACTTCTAAATGTGAAGTAATATGCTACACAGTACCATTTTCAAAATTTTGCATGCGTCTTTGTCTATTGCATTTTTTAAAGAACAGACTGACTGTCAATTCACATTTGTTTACTTAGGGAAAAAAAACAATTGCCTGGGATTCAAGAAGCCTGAGTTCTGGTCCCATCTCTGCTTGCTACGTGAACTTAACTTAAGCAAGTCAGTTAACTTCTCTTGGCCAATTTCTCATACATAAAAAAGCAAGTGACCTATTCTCAGAAGCGATCCAAGTGGAATCTGGAGTTTTCATTTAATTATTAAGAATTAACTCTCCCTCAGTCTTCATATATACCAGCAAATGTGATGAAAGGCACAATGTCATGCATAATCAATCAATCAAAACTTTCCACTGTATTTCTTTCCCTCCCCCATTTCTAATGCAAGTTCATATGTGTAGAAAATAGGAAGATATCACGATAGGGAAAAGCATTTTAGAAGTGTAAGCCAAGTAAAAAGACAACTTACAGTATTTTACTCAATTCTGCAAATCATTTGCCATTCATAAAAAAATTAATAAAGGTAGTTTTGGTCCTCACCACCCTCATTTTTCCACTCCCTCCCCCCCAGAAAAGTAGATTGGTTGATGATATAAAAAGTATGACAGGTGAGAGGCACTGATCAATATGATGTGACCTATTCATTCATTCAGTAAATATGTGAGTGCCCAATTACCCGGCATTAAGCTAAGCACCAAAGACAACATGCAGAAAGGTGAGTTTTTGGCCAGGACAGAAGCATATAATCAAGTGGATAATCTGGGGTCCTAAGGCCTTAATTGCATCACAAAGCCTTGAGGGTACTATCCCGCCTTGATTGATTCTACAACTTGCTTCTTAAGGAGAAATTTGGTGAACCGAATTCTCTCAGAATCAACAACAAGAAAACTGCGTTTATATCTCCATTCATCCAGGAGGATGGCAGCTAAGAAGACATCACACTCCTCAGCTAGGCATGTCACAGAACACGTCAGAGACACCGTGAGGAGAGGCAGCTGCAAGGTGTATAGGCTGAAGAGCACAGGTCCAGGCTACCCGTTAGTCTATGATTTAATGAGTCCCAAAGTTCTTTAAAAGATTCTGTTTCCTACAACCTCATCTCAAGACTCAGTGGACTACCATTCCCAAATTCTGAGGGAGTAAAGAAAGTTCTATAAAACTGCAGTAAATCTAAATTTCAAATTCTAAATAAAATTCTGGGGCAGGTGTCTGGTACAAAGGCGTGTTTTATTATACATCAGGTGTCAGCCTTGAATTATCACATTTTTCTTTATCACTAAAAGTCGGTGAAACAATCAAGATTTTAAGGCTTTGGCCAAATTTTGCTCTTTTTGAAAATCAGTATCTGCTTCCTAAGCACCTCCCTTACCCGCTTCCATTCAACAAGAACAAGGGAGTAAAGTCCGGAATTTCGTCAGCACAGCCTCTCTCCCAATTTACTTAAAGATGCAGTCTGAAATCCTTTCTGAGATTCGGCTGGGGGTACATTTTTTAAGCTATTAAACTTGGCGACGAGAGGGCAGCAGCAGGGAGAGAGGCGAGGCGTCCGCCAGGATGACCGCGCAGGGGCCGGAGCCGCAGCGGCGAGCTCTCGGCCTCCGGCCCCCGGCCGGGCAGGGTGACGCCGGGGCGGCCGGAGAGCGGGCCGAAGTAGCCGCGCGGCCACGGAGCGAGGGCCCGGGGGGCGGGAAAGGCCACAGGGCGGGCTGCGGGGGCAGCACACACTTCAGGAAAGCGCGGGCGCTCTCCTCGGGGCGCTGCCTGAGGGCGAGCCTGGGGCTGGGGTCCCCTTCGCCGCCCGGACCGAGTCTGGGAGGGTACCTGACTGCGGGTGGCCGCTCCACAGCCCCCGCCCGCCGCCCCGGCAGGAGAGAAGGCCGGTTCTCCGCAGAGCCGCGACCCTCGCCAGCGTCGCCAGCATCGCGCGCCTCTCAGATATCCTCGCTCCCCGCGTGAGGCGAGAACGCAGCAGGCGCGCGAGCCGCAGCCACCGGGGGCGCCCGCGGACACCCCAGGCCCCGCCCCGCGCCAGACGGGAGGGGCCGGGCCGCGATGAGTGCTCCAGGCCCGCGTCACCCGTGGGGCAGGGGTTTAGTCAGTCTGTCCCAACCAAAGACCGCGAGACTGCAAAGGTCATTGTTGGGTCGCGTATTCGCCCTTTCCTTTATCCTTTTTCTTCCTCCTTCCTTCACTTAAATCTTTTCAATCTCCACCCAATTCAATAACCCACTTATCCGGCTGCCCCTGGCGGAACCTTTGCGAGGCCGGAACCAACGTGCTGTATGGCTCTGGCGGCCGGAGGACTGTTATGGAAAAGGACCACCAATTCTCTGAAGGGTTGGTCGGAACAGTTCCGGCGGGAGAAGGTGGCAGTGAGGTCTTCATTTTCGTCTCTCGATATGCACCGACAGAATTTTCGACCCCCGACTCCTCCTTACCCCGTCCCGGGTGTAGGAGGTTGGGGTAGCGGGAGCAGCTTCCGGGGCGCCCCGGGCGGAGGCGGACCGCGGCCGCCCTCCCCTCGGGACGGGTACGGGAGTCCGCACCACACGCCGCCGTACGGGCCTCGGTCTAGGCCCTACGGAAGCAGCCAGTCTCCGCGACACGGCGGCAGCTTCCCGGGGGGCCGGTTCGGGTCTCCGTCCCCTGGCGGCTACCCTGGCTCCTACTCCAAGTCCCCCGCGGGGTCCCAGCAGCAATTCGGCTACTCCCCAGGGCAGCAGCAGACCCACCCCCAGGTAATATAGCCAGCGTTTGCCGAGCTCTTACTGTATGGCAGGCATGGTACTAATAATCCCTTTCCGTGGATTATTTTGTTTAATCCTCTGTGAGGTGAGATACTATTGTTAGCCCCGTTTTGCAGATGAATAAACTGAGGCTTGGAGAAGTTAAGTAACTCTCTTTAGATGACCCTAAAAAGTAGCAGAGCCGTATTTTCTGTTTCTAGAGCCCTCCTGCGTTTAACCAGTCCACTGCTCCTCCTACACGGATTTCCCTAATTCTCTCTCCTCTGCCAGGGGCTTTGCCGGTTCGTCTCAGTAAATTATTCTGACCCCCAGTCTCCGAGGGGGAAAAAAGCAAATGAGTCAGCATTGAATTCATCTCGGTTATAGGGTTAAAGACCGGTGCCATCTTCTTACTGCTGGCACCTTTTTTTAGTGGGGGCGGTGTGGCTTTTTTTCGAACTACGCTGGCTTCTGCTCCAAGTCGTCTCAGCGGAAAATCGGTGGATAGTGGAAGTTGCTCGTTCTGCTCAGTGAGAGTGAATGCAGGAGACAGAGGGAGCATTTCTGGTGTGTGTAGGATTTCTGTGGTTTAAAACTTGCGTGATTTCTAACTTCCCTTATGCTAAACCAACCCCAGCCCCTTTGAGTCTGGAGCTAGGGAGATAGAGTTTACAATGAGATGGAAAGATTCTAGAAATTTTGAAGCTGTAGGGTTAAAAAAAAAAGTTTTAATTTTCCTCTGAAAAAAAGATTGAAATTTTGAGGAAAAATCGAAATACAATTAATTTCTTATTTCGTCATCAGGTGATAGTTCTGCAAAGTTATTATATTAGAAATCCAAAAGTACTGAGGTGACAGTGGGCGTGAAATTATTAATAAATGAATATATCATGTTGGTTTACATACTTTTTACAAACCAAAACACTAGATTAAAGGAAGCATGGACTTTGCAGTTGAACATATCTGAGTTCAAGACCCAACTTTTAACTAGCATTGTGATCCCCAGTAGCTTTCTTAAAAAAGTACCGATTATCTCTACTAAACGTTTTTTTAACTGATGATTTTTTTTCTAAAGGGTTCTCCAAGGACATCTACACCATTTGGATCAGGGCGTGGTAGAGAAAAAAGAATGTCTAATGAGTTGGAAAGTTATTTCAAGCCTTCAATGCTTGAAGACCCTTGGGCTGGCCTAGAACCAGTATCTGTAGTGGATATTAACCAACAATACAGCAATACTCAAACATTCTCAGGCAAAAAAGGAAGATACTTTTGTTAACATTTCTGAAATTCAACTGGAACCTTCATGTGTCAGGAACATCATGGACAAAACTTACTTGTGTAATTAAGTTGAACCCTAAGATGGTGACTTTGAATGATTAGTTGGGTCTTCGTGGTATTTTTTGTCATATCAAGTATTGTTGGTATTAGGGAAGACATATGGTAGGATAATTTGCAATATTAAGCTCTCTGGAAGTGCCTGCCACATTTTAGAAGATTTACCGTTTCCAAATATTTAACATTCTTGGTTATATAATGGACATTTGTCTTTTAATGTTTTTTCAATGTTTTAAAATAAAACATTTTGTCTTTCTAGCTATATTGTGGTGTTGTCATATGCTAAAGTAGAATTATTAAAATAATGCTTTGTAATCACTTAGAATTCATAGGTACATATTTTGCATACCCATTTTGAAAATGAAATAGATAAACCATCCTTTGAACTGTAGGCAGTTCTATATTTGTTCATAGAGAAAGAGGGGTGAAGGAAGAAAATAAAAGAGAATTCCATTCATATTCATTATAACCATTGTTCTTCATGCACATTTTATGTAATGCTTTTGTAAAAATGCGTTGAAACTTGATTGGAAATCACAGAAACCTATTTAAGCTTAAGTAAAAAAGGGTATTTGTACCTTTAGACTTATTTAACTGCAGCGGGCAAGGATAGACCTATTTCTTGCGTACCTAGATAAAAGTGTCCTGTATCTGAATTTCTCTACATCTCTCGGTATTGTGGAGTCATTTTTCTCTTGAGGCCAAGGAAGATGGCTACCAGCAGTCTCAAATCACTTCCATTGGAGGAGAACATCAATCCCAGGAAAGACAGATTTGCCATGTTTAGATCATGTTTCTGTAGTCCTGAACCAATAACTATGACCAAGGCAGTGAGGCCTAATTAGCTTGAACCATGGACTGCCCCTATGATCTTCAGGGGTCCCATGATCCAATAATCTTCAGCCCCACCACGCCTACCTGGATTAGAGAAGCAGTTTTCCAAAGAAAGGGATGCTACAATATATGTATACCTAGAGTAATATAAAAATATGAAGGGATTTTTTTCCCCTGACTGTTTAAACAAAATCGTCTTATAACGTGCAGGCTTTTTAGATATTTTGAGCTCATAATATATGATGAAGATAGAGCTAGTTAAGATTTTGTTTAAATATTCCCAGAAAGAAACATCTGAAATGGTCACACCACTTATTTTAGCCATACCCAGTTCTCTCTGCTCATTAGGTTTTTCACAGAGGCAAAGAAGAAAATGAGAAGCGAAGGATTTTAGATTAATAGAAGCTCCTATGAGAGCCAGGACTATTTCTATCAGTTACTAGCTGATGAGTTATTTAACTTCTCTATGCCTCAATTTTCTCATATGTAAAATGAAATTAATGGTACCCATGTCATAGAGGTATTGTGTTTGAGGATTAAATGGGTTTATACACATGCAACTCTTAGGCCAGAGCCTGGCACATAGTAAGCACTCAATAAATGGTAGCTGTTGCTTTCTCATTCACCCCTATATCCTCAGCTCTTAGAATGATGCCTGGAAAATAGTAGGTGCTGAATAAGTATTTGGTGAATAAATGCAGACATTCTGATTATAACTATTGCTCTGCCTTATCTCCTGTATATAAAAGGGATAGTAAATTAATTTCCCCCACTGTTTTAAAGGAAATGTCTTTATTCCCTAATATCCTGTCTTTCCAGATGATTTGAGGTCGTGATGTATGATGAAAATTAGAGCAAGTAGGATACTTTTGTACACCTTTTATTGAACTTCATAGGTAAGGAATATCTTTAGGAAATGGCATTTGGAAGTCGTTATTAAACCATCTCTTAGAGATCATTGGGTTATTGACAAAGATGAAAAAGGAAGTCAGGAATGGTTTTGTGCCAATGTAGTCACTTCATATTTGGAAGACCTTCAAATTGTAACTGTTCTAATGGTTGATGTGCATTTTATTTCACTATGTACTTTATAAGTGTAATGTTAAACAACTAAATGTAAAATTTCTTTCTTACCAAACTACCAACATCTACATCCAGAGATCTGACCTTTTCTGACTTTCTTAAAAGAAACATTTTTTGTCCTCAGGAAAGGTGCATTGCTGTTTTGCTCTAGTTGGTAGTATATTCAGTTATCAAAGTTCTTGGGACATTGATAATTTGGTTTGTTTCTATTATTAGCCTATTTTTTTTTAGCTGAGTGAAAGGAATTGGTCATTCTTTAAAATGAAAAATTATTTTTTTTAGTGTTTCAGAATACACATTTTTACCTCCATAAAAATGCTAAATAGGAAAATTTTTAGTTAAGTATGCATCTTAAATATTCAGATAATTTAAAAAATGAAAGTATAATCTATAGCTGGGTCTTCAAACAAGGGTATGCATACTCCCGGGAGTATTCAGCTTTCCAAGGGAAATGCAGGCATAGATAGCTTTAAGAGATTCCACATCCTCAATTCTCATATATACTCTTTGTTAAAATTGATCTGCCTAGAGAATATTTCCATGTTCAGTGGATTATGCCAGTTCTCCTTTTTCCCTTCTGCCTTTTCGCAATCACCCTTCTCCCACTTTACGAAAGAAACCTACGGCAGGTTGTATTTTCCAAAAACGACCCCAACAATATTTCAGGTCCCACATTCTCTTCCAGAACCTGCCACTACCCCATTAAGATGTGGAGTCATGTCCCTTCCCTTTGAACCTGAGCTGACTTTTCTGACTGCCCTATTGGAGGAATTATGGTGGAATTTAATGTATTTTCATTGTGGGTGAAGTGTGGTCTTAGAAATGGGTTATATTGGCCCATGTGGAGATGTTCAGAATTCAGATGTGTTGTCAAGTAGGGAGATAATGTGATGAGGTTTTGTTTAATGACCTTGCCTTTTTTTGTCTCCTGACTTCAAAAAACCATTTTT